AGCATCCTTGTGAAGACCGTGTGCGGGGTAGTGTCCAAGAGGGCCGCACAGCTGTGTGGCGCGGGCATGGCTGCCGTGGTGGACAAGATCCGTGAGAACAGGGGGCTGGACCACCTCAACGTGACTGTGGGCGTGGACGGGACGCTCTACAAGCTTCATCCGCAGTGAGTGGGGCTTCCGGTGGGGATGGGCAGAGCTTCCTGGGCAGGCAAGGCCCCTTTATGGCTATGGGACATCAGGATGTGATTCCCACCAGGAAAATTCCTCACCAGGACACAGCCAGCCTGCAGGCTGTGTGGTCAGGGTGGGGCTTGTCTGGGACGAGGAAATGAGCTGCTCTGAAATTTACCTGGGATGCCTGGGGAGGTGGAGAAGCGGCTTCACTTGGCCAGCTCACACCTGTGGCCTGGCATTTCCTGCTTTCCCCTCCTCCTGGGCCTCTCTCATCCAGGTGGGGAGCAGGAAAGGAGGTAAGGGTGGGTGTCCACTTACCCATCAGCCTGGCCGGGAGGCTGTGTTTGGTAAGCGGGAAGAGGGAGTGAAGGAAAGGGGAAGGGGCCCACTGTCTTGTCCACCTGCTAAATCAGTTTGTCAAGAGCCTTGGAAGGCAGGAGCGGTTTTGGCCCTGGGCTTTGTAGCAGGGAGGCGGGTGGGATGTGACCTCCCTGACGTTTTGGTCGGGTGTCCAGCACCCCATATGCTGGAGGAGGAGAAGTGAGCCCATCTGCTCTTTGATCTACCACACATCCCAAAGCTTGGCTCTTATGAATAGAGCGACCATATTATTGTCGAAATGGAGGTACTTTTGCCAATCAAGAGAGTGCTACTAATAATCACACTGGGACTGTCCCCAGTAAACTGGGCCGCTCACTCCACTTAAAAGCAACCTCACCCAACTCAGTGTAGGCGTTGCCTGCCTACGTCATGGCCGTGGCTTGGGATGAAAGCATCTGTTGGGCTCCACCCCAACCTCTGTCTCTCCACCTTCATAGCTGTCCTCGTCCCTGTGGTTTAGATCTAGGCTTTGGAGCTGCACGTGGACATGCTTGGTTTTAATCTTGGTACCACCGTGTAGGAGCTGTGCTCAGTGGCTTCATCTCTGCCCAGTCTCCTCTTCATGGGAAAATGACCACCGGCAGGCCGGACATCACATGTATAAAGTGTGGGACACCTAGGAGGAATTCAGCAAAGGGCAGTCAGTATTTCCTCTAGGAGCGCCACTGCCCTGAGCATCCGCGGCCTGGCGCTATCGCATTTTCAGCACAAAATGCAAGAACCCAGAGTCACCTCTCATTTACAGATTATAGTTCATGGGGGTGGGGGGCTCCCTCTCTTAGCTTCAGGTGCTGGGTTGGGGGTGGAGTCCTCTCAGAGGACTGCAGCTGGGGGTGGGTGACTTTCGTTTCCATGCAGCCTGCTGAGCTGACCCAGTGCCGGACCAGCTTGGCCCACCTCAGTGGTCCACACCCAGGTCCCAGCACCCCTTCTTGGTTTTCGGTCCCGTCGGAGCCTCAGGCTTTGAGGATGGGAGCCGTCTGGGTGTGTTACTCATGCCTTAGCCCTCAGAAGGTGTACAGAGCAGCTGGTTTCGGATTCTCCGGCCTCCCTGCTGCAAATTGTAACAGGACTGGCTGTAAACCCACTTTCTCCCAGACGTTCTCAATAAGCCGCAGCTGCTTCCAAGCAGCCCCTCCCAGCTCGCTTCCCTCCTCATTGTTAGGGTGCTTCAGCGTCTTCAGGTGGGTCCGGCGTCTCTCCTCATATTCCTCTACCTACCCTTCTCTACTTTTGTCCTTTTTAGTTTCTCCAGAATCATGCACCAAACCGTGAAGGAACTGTCACCAAAGTGTAACGTGTCCTTCCTCTTATCCGAAGACGGTAGCGGCAAGGGAGCCGCCCTCATCACGGCAGTGGGCGTTCGGCTCCGGCAAGAAACGAGCAGCTAAGAGTCCTGGACCCCCCAGCCTGCTGCCCTTCCAGCACTTCTCTCTTCAAGCAGCGCCCCCCTGTTCTGCCCAGTGAGCTGTGCTGGGAGACGCCGGCACCAAAGCCCGCCAGCACCACCGCGGGGAGGAAAACAGAAGCCAAGTAATGGCGCGTAACGTAGGGTACAAAATAGAGTGTGTGCTGTTGGTAATCTCCCTGACCTCCAGATCCCTCCTCACCTGCCCTGCCACCTTGCATGATTTGACTTCAACCTGGTCGTACGTTCCCCACATGTGAAGTTTAGTGGCGTCCGTTTCTAACTTATGCATTAGTCCAACAGTTATTTATTGGCTCAAAATGAAAAGTCACACCATCTGACAGGCCTTATGGGCCTCCGCAGCCCGTCCTTGGGGATGTGTCCCCCGTGTGCAATGTATTTTCACCAGCAGACACTGCCGGGACTCCTCCCACGGGTGCATCAGCCGCCGCTTCCTCCCGGCCCCGCACCCATCGCTGTCTGGTGTCCCATCAGGGCGTGTCAATGCCACTGAACTGTGTGTCCGTGGAACTGGTCCTAGCCACATTGTGACAGTCTTGCATCCTGTCTGTCTTGGGGAGGGGAGGTGGGCAGTCCTGCGGGAAAGTGTCTTGTCTCCGTTTGGGTAAAACGAACCAATCAAGAAACAGTACGCTCATTGGAATTTCCCATCGCTTTTGTGAGCCATGTTGTATGACCTAGTAAACTTTGTACCAATTCAAAGACCCGAGTGACGCTTAATGGCTGAGGAGTGGGGAGGACATCAGGGGATGTGGCAGAAACCAAACCCTGGGGGGTCTCGTGGCCTTCTGGGTCAGGGCAGAGTTTGAAATGAAGGCTGTGTTCTTCAGCGTGCAGCCTTCTTTTGGCTTGAGGACTTCTATACTCTCCCTGCAGAGGGTCAAGAAGTAGCCTCTCCCCTTCTTCTAGCACCTGCCCTTCCACTTCCCTGCTCCAGCCCCGGGGGCCTACCGCAGGGAGGGACTCCTGCAGCCCCCGCCTCGACACCTCTCAGAAGGTAAAGGGATGGAAGGCCCCCGTCTTCCAATAGCCTGGCTTCCTCACTTGTAGTTGGAACAAAGGAAAAGTCAGCTTGGCTTGTGGGGGCTGTTGGAAGCCCCATGAGAGGACAGGGCAATACTGGCCCTCCCTCCTGCTGTGCTAGCGTGGGTCCTGCCCTCATCACCCTCTCTGCCAACTCCAGGACGATGGATGAAGAGATCCCCTTCCCTGAGCAGATGAGGCCTTGTAGCAGCCCAGGGTAGCAGGGTTGCTGTCCTCTCCCCAACCCCCATCATAGACGAACCCCTTCTGTGGGCCTTTGTCTGACCCTGTCATCCCTGCCCCACCGCAGTCTTGAGGTGCTCTTCCACTCTGTGGCTGCCGTTTGGGGTTCTCCCCCAGCCTGTCTGTGGACCCCACATCAGTCCCCATTCTGGTACCGTGTGATTGAGGTGCGATGTGAGTCTCCCAGGCCATGACCACACCTCTGGTGGCTTTTCTCAGGACTGACTGCATGCTCCCTTGGTGTGGTGAGACCAGAGTCCCGTTATTTGTCACTGCCGGTGCCTATGACACGGTGATCTTGTGGAGAACACAGATAACATTGAACTCCAGGTGTGCACTTACAGTGTTACGTGATGCTTCTGGAGGGGCCGTGAGGTGGGAAGGGTGAGTCAGCAAGCAGGGTGAGGTGTGGACTGGGCTGGGCCTGGAGCTTTCTGGGAGATGGGATGGTGGGTGTTCTCTGCCTGGCACCTCCTTGAGCAGAAGTAAGGGTGAGGGCTGTGTTGCTGACTTGCGGAATTCAGGTCAAACGGCTGCCCTGGTGGTAATAAAAGTCCCAGCTGCTGTTTATGAAGCACTTAACCTGTGTTGGGCCTGCCAGTTTATAGACATCACTCCCATCGTCCTCACAGCATCCCTGTGAGGTAGTTTTGCCATTGAAAGGGAAAGGAGCTGAAGGTCGTTGTGACTTGTCTGAGGCCACCCAGCGGAGGCTCCTTTTTTAAAATTAATTAATTAATTTTTTTGGCTGTGTTGGGTCTTCGTTTCTGTGCGAGGGCTTTCTCTAGTTGCGGCAAGCGGGGGCCACTCTTCATCGCGGTGCACGGGCCTCTCACTGTCGCGGCCTCTCGTTGCGGAGCACAGGCTCTAGACACGCAGGCTCAGTAGTTGTGGCTCACGGGCCTAGTTGCTCCGCGGCATGTGGGATCTTCCCAGACCAGGGCTCAAACCCGTGTCCCCTGCATTGGCAGGCAGATTCTCAACCGCTGCGCCACCAGGGAAGCCCCCTGAGGCTCCTTTTAACCACCGTCTACACTAGGGTGGATCTGGGTTCTTAGATGCTAAGGCAGAGAAGCCCTGGATTGGCTCACAGGTTAGGGGCTTTGCAAAACAAGAAGCTTCTTTCCGTGTGTCTTTAGCCTAAGAATAGGTCAGTGTCATGGTTGGGTGCTGCCCACGGGTGTGTTTTGTTTGGTTTATGCAACATTTATAAAAACGGGAGCTCAATTGAACAAACCTGGAAGTTTCACAGGTTTGGATTTCTGGCTTCTCTCGAAAGGTTTGGAGGATCTGGCAACACTGGGCTCCCAGCCACGTGGCAGCATCTGTCCAGAGCTGATCGGCTGTCGTCCCCTTTGCATTCCTGTGCTCTCCAGTTTGCCACAGTCCCCACCCTTCCTTTTGCCCCAACACCGGAAGTCACTTACCTTTTATCATTATATCTACAGTTTTTCTTTTATACTGGATTCGGTTTACTCATGTTGTATGCCCCAGGGAGGCATTCGAGCTTGCAACTCCCGGATTAGATAAATGTTAGCTCACACTGTCTTCTTTGACTTATTGGACGCCCTGAAGCACTGTCAGAGGGGCGGCTGGGAGAGTCAGCACCCACTGCAGAGTTCCTGGCCCCATCTTGTTTTTCCATTGATGTACTGAAGGGTGAGGCATGGGCCAAACTCTCTGATGTAGAGAGTCTCTCTGGCTACTTCTCCAGGGTGCTAAGCCTCCCCCTGCAGCCAGGCACAAGGGTTCAGGGGTCAGCAGACCCTTCAGCTTGCAGACTTCCAGCCTGCCCATTGGCAGCCCCAGAGGGGGCCACATCCCCAGCCATGAACAAAGTCTCTTTAGTGTGACACCTGTTGACCCTCGTGGAAAGGGATGAGGTGTGAGTCAGCTCAATCTTGTCCTCCTCAGTTGGCGTGACCCGTGGGTAGCCACGGTAAGCAGGCCGGAATCCAGAGCGAAACCTGGGGGATGGAGGGTCATCTTGAGCAACGGAGTGAGGGCGGCAGTTATGGGAACTGTCCTGTGGCTGCTCCCACCTCCAGCAGCCGATCTCTCCTCCAGAGGAAAGTCGCTGCCTCGCTCCTAAGAGCTCAGGGTCTCTGGGGAGGCACGTTCTTTAGTGGATTTGGTTTTGGGAAACAACCAGAAGTAATCTGGGGCTAAGTCCGAGGACTGAAGTGAGCCGAATGAGACCGTTTGTTATTACAAACAAACAAAAATAAACCAAGTTCGGTCATAAAGACAACAGATTTTCTTGTTCCATTTGTTAACTGGCTTCTAAGGGAGTATGCAGAGAGGAGTCTTAGAGACTTGGGGCTTTGGCAATGTTGGGTGGAATACGGATGCTTTGAAAGAAAATATACACATGGAACTACCAAGTTTTAGTACATTTGCTTAAAAAATAGACAACTTTCCCCAAGGCAGCAAAGAGGGTCCACCTGTAACTTGGAGATCAGAGGAAGCAGAGAGTGACTGGAAGAAGTGAGAAAGAGCCGGCGGAAACAGATGAGACCCTGTGTGATGCGGAGGGAGGGAAAGAACTATATGGTCTGTTTCCGGAGACGCAGGGTTCCGAGTTTCAGAAGAGCAGGCCCGATTTTGGTTCCTCCCGCTGTAGCTCTGAAGGTTCCGTGGTGCAGCCCAATAAATGCCTTTATTATGGGAGCTTCATGGCCTCTGCCCACACTCAGCATGTCCCAACCCGAGCTCCCCACCCTTTTCCCCCCACACCCCCCCCAGTTGTCCTCGTCTCAGTTCCTGACAACCGACCACTCTGTCCTTCCACTAGTTCAGGCCAGACACCTGGGGTCATCCTTGACTCCCTCCCCATCAAATTCTGTTGGCTCTACCTTAGCAATCTCCGGACTCTGACCACTTGTCACATGTCTAAACCCACCATCTCTCGCCTGGCTTATTGCACCTGCCTAACCATCTCCCTGCCTCCCCCACCTTGCCCCTCTGTGGTCCAGTTCCAACACAGCTGCAAGACTGATTCTTTTCAAAGGGAATCAGAGCATGTGTTTCCCCCGCTCAGAACACTGCAGGGCTCCTCATGTCAGAGAACCAGCCCAGGTCCTTACCTCGACCGCAGGGCCCTTACTTTGGCTGTTCCCTCTGCCTGGAATTCTTGTGCAGACACCTACAGGGCCCACTCAGTCCTCAAGTCTGCTCAAAAGACCCCTCAGTAAAGCCTACCCTGACCATCCCGTAAAATCACAACCCTGATGCCCATTACTTCCCCCGGCGCCTCCTGTCCTCTCTTACCCAGCTCTACTTTTTCTTTTTTCTATAGGATGTATCACCTAATACACAATGTATATTTACTCATTACATTTGCTTATTGTCTATCTCCACCTCCCCACTAGAGGGTCAGCTCCCCGAGGATAGTGATCACTGTTTTTGTTCCCCAGGGTGTCCCAAGGGGCCTGGAACAGTGCCGGGCACACAGAGCCACTGGTGAACGTTTTGCGGAAGAATGAAAATTCCGCCAGGAACACCAGTCTTCAGAGCTATTGTCATCAAATACTGAATGATTCAGAAGTTGTAAAGCCCTGGGATGTTCAGACTCCCAGGGACTGTGTCTTTGGGTAGCGGGAGAGTGACCAGTGCACAGGCACAGAAGGCTGGGAGCCCCCTCCCTGATGTGACAGTCCCTGTCTCCAAGTTCGCACTCCTACAACCGCATGCAAGAGAAATGTGTGATGCGGGGATGAGATTACAGGCCTTGGAGACACATGGAATTCCTGCTTTATGAGTTTAGGAGAGTCTTCCTTTTGGAGGCTCAGTTTCCTCATCTGTAAAATGGGGATAACACCTCCCTCCCATTATATATTTGCCTCTCAGGAGACAAATGGAGGGTTCTGGCAGCCATTAAATAGTCAAAAAAAAAAAAAAAAAAGTACAGTCTCTTACTTCCTTCTGGCCTGCCCCGGGTGGGATGTCTGAGCAACAAAGATCCTACTGGCATTATGAGTGGTGTGGACATGTGGGCAGGGAGGTGATAAAAGATGCCCAGGGCCAACCTCACCCACATCATTGCCTCGTTAAGGCCAGGACTCAGTGTCCACCTCTCATCTCCTCTTACCTGGCTCCACCGTCAAGGCTTTCTGAGAGGCTGAACGACTTGCTCTGCAAGCAGGACTCCTGGGCTGGGGCTCCTGCCTGGCCCAGCACCTCCTCACCTGTGCAAGTGCCCCTGAGCAAATGCCAGCCCCTCTCTGGGACTACACTTCTCTAGAACTACAAGGGTTGGGGGGAAGTGAGAACTTGGCTCCTTCCTTTCTGGCAGTGTCTGCCAAGGTCACTTCCTAGCTGCCCTGAAAGCCCCTTCTGTGATCTTCCAGGGAGCAACCTGCTCCCCCTCTAGTCTTGGCCCCGGGCCTCAGGTTGGGTGCTTCGTTCTGCTGCGGTTGGCGCTGTTCTCCTCGCCCAGGGACAGTCCTCAGTTCTTCCTCAGTGTAGGAAGCTGTTAAAACCATCAGTCCCTCCCTCCTTTACCTGGCTCCTTCCTTCCGCCCTCTCTGCTGTCCTTCTCCCTCTCTCCCCTCCCTCCATCTCTCTGTTCCTCCCTCCGTTCTTCTCCTTGTCCCAGATGCAGCCCCCAGAAGAAAGAGCAGGGGCAGGCCAACGTGAGAGCTGTGGCCCGGGCAACGGGGCAAAGCTTTGGGGAGGAGGTGGGGCGCGAGCTAGGCCTGGACCCGAGGGAGGACTGTGCTGGGGGCTCCCTGGGAGGATGGTAATCCCATGGTGGCGGGGATGGACAGGCACAGGCTCGAGCTGTGCAGGGGAGTCCAGATGGGGCCAGGATGAGAGGGGTTGGGGTGAGGGCTCACTTGTGGTTGAGGCAGCAATAAGTGATGGGATTGTACATGGTGGAGCTCATGGCCATCCAGAAGAGCACCAGGTAGACCTGCTGGATGAACTTGTGGCAGTAGATGTCCTCCTGGAAGCCGCCCAGGATGAAGTAGAGGTGGTAGGGCAGCCAGCAGATGGCAAATGTCACCACCACCAGCACCATGGTCTTCACAAACTGGTCCAGGAGAGACTCAGGTCACTCCTCAGCCTGGAAGCCCCAAGCCCCAGTTTTCCCGAGGGGAAGCACGAGGCACGTCTCATGCCAGCCTGAGAAGCCCTCAGTAAGCAGGCCCTGTCTACCTCCACAGGCTCAGGCCGGTAGAGCTTCTGCTACCCAGACACTCCTGGGCCTTCCACCTCGGGGCTTTTGCTCAGGCTGCTCTCTCTGTTCACACTGCTGTCTTTCCTTTGAAGTCCTCACTCCTCAAAGCCCAGCTCGGTGGCCACCTCCTCTAAAAGGCGTCTTGGATCCCCCTTAGAGCAGAGCAGCTCCCCTCCCTGGAGAGTGGATGAGCTCTCGTTCCTAACCACATCCTTAGAGGAGACCATGCCTGCTACGGGTTCCGAGGTCTCCCTCTCCCTGCAATCTGTGTCTGCCACAGCCCAAAGACCAAAGCAAGTCCGCCCGCCCGGGAAGAAGGAGTGAATGTTCTGGCCAGGGACTTGGGACAAGGGCAAGTTACAGGTGGAGTCTATCCTCCGCGGCGCCCTCTAGGGGACGTGCCCGGAATGGCTGATCCGAGGCGGGGCCAAACTTCCGGCCCCGCTCCCGGAGTTCACCTTCTCGGCCTGCAGGTGGCGCAAGTTGGCGCCATGCACCTCGTACCCTGGGACAGTGCGTCTCCAGAGCGTGAGACCGATGACACTGTGGGCGACGAACATCACCACGAGAGGCAGGAAGTAAATGAGGGCGATCACCTCGAGGTGGTACCTGGAAGGAGAGTCAAGGGACTGGGCACGGGGCGACCTGGGGGCGACTCCAGCATCCGCCAGCACTCAATCCCCAGGACCTTGCTGACGCCCCTGAGCTGTCCCTGGCGGGCTACCCTGGGCCACCTCCCAAGGGCTTGGTTTGAAAAAAAAAAAAAAAAAAAGTAAAAAAAAAAAAGAAGGGCAGACTGGCTAGCACATGTGCCCAATGAGAGTTTCCCCTGCTGCAAAAGGGACACCTGTGTTAGCTCTGAGTCCTTCCAAGTGACAGACAAGTTACCAAACAAGGAAATAAATAGGAACGAAAAAATTAACCAAGTAATACATTTGTTTAAAATTTAAAATGCCGTTAAGCACAAAGGAGGAAGTAAAATTATGTATCTCACCTCCACCAATGTTAATGGTTTGGAATATTTCTTCCAGAATCATGTAATATATGTGTATATGTATATGCACATATGTATTAGATAGATTATGTGTATCTTCTATATCTGCATCTGTCTGTCTAGGTAGATTTCCTAGAGTTGATATGGTTCTATCCTGCACCAACATCCCTAGCAGGGAAGGGGCAGTGGAGACAGGCCACACTGTACGTGCTAGTGGAGCATCTCTTCCTGACTGTGCGCATTTGGTTGGGAACATGGCTCACATCTGCAGATACTCTTTCACACCACCTGTGAGCAAGTGGCCCGGAGCACCATTGATGGCGCTCATCCAGTCCCCGTGGAGGACACCCGGGGCTGTGTTGAGACCTTCTCATTTCCTTTTGGAAAGATGCGTGCTGCCCATTCTGGTTTCTGAGCGATGCTGTAGCCTCTCTCTGACAAGGCCCAAGCAGGAGCATCCGGTGAATGGAACCAAGACCCCTGGCCCTGTCATGTGACCTTTTTCTAGGAGAACAGAGGTGTACCCAAGCCCCTCCTTTCCTCCCCGTGTGCCAGCCTTGCTGGGTTCCTTTCAAGAGGTACTGACACCTGGAGGGAGGGGAGTAGATGGCTCCAGCAAATGTCTTCCCTAAAGCCCGAGTTTAGAATTCGGCTTGCTTACTCTTTTGGCAAGCATGCTAATTACAAAAGGTTTGGGGGCTCCTAGACTCCCCGATCATCATCTGTCCTACTGTGGAGCAGGTGAGGGCAGAGCAGCAGCCAGGTGCCAGGCCCTTGTACCTTACCTTCATTGTGACGTCGCAGAGTGTCTGAGATAGATAGACCTTGAGGATCAGCGGGGCCACCTGTCTCAGCACCCAGAGCGGGAAAATGAGGCTCATAGGGGCACAGGAAGTCTGTGTCCTGTGAAACAGCTCTATACGGACTTAACACACAAATGATTTGCCTTCCACTGAGGGTCAGCCCTGTGGAGTCGGAAGAACTGGGTTCTTGCCTAGCCTCTAATTTAAAGCATGACCTTGGGCAAGTCAGATCTCTCCCTCAGTCTGTTTCCCCATTTGTAAAACAAGGAGTTAATCTCTACCATCCTTCCCAAGTATGAGCGACGCCTTTCTGTTGCCTCATTCTTTCGTGGGTCGGTTCAGGATAGGAATTCACTCTGGGCTAGGTTCCCACACAAAAGGGAGTGCCAAGGAGCTTTGGGAACCATCTTCCAGGGCCTGCCAGAATCTCATAGCCTGGACTGCCTTTTTTGTATTTTGATTTGGGGAGCGCATGTGCATTTTCCTAGATTCCTACACACACAGGATGTGAGCCTGTACGGATGGAGTCCCCAGTCTAAATCTCAGAAGCTCCCCAACCCAAGAACAAATAGTATATTCTTACACACGAGAAACCAGGCTTTCCCCCAAATCCTCTCAGAATTCGAAGTAGCACCAAAGTATAGCCTTCCTAGCCCACCTCTGCCCTCCTGTTTTCCCCTGTTGCCTGGAGCAGAGTCGGAAATCACCATCCCCAGAAAGGTGGTGGTTGGTACCCTAAATTCTTACTGGTCCGCACCTCAGAGAGAAAAGCTCACTGTTAAGGTGGAGAAACACCGCCCCGCAGTGGCCAGTCAGGAAATGTTCAGCTCTCTGCCCCTTCCCAAAGCCAAAAAGGGGGCGGGTCCCTACGTAGACTCCGCCCCTGGAGCCGTGAGTCCTGAGAGCGTGGGCTACGGAACGAGGGCAGACACGCAGGGCAGCAGTTTCCCGGGAAACTCAGCAGTTGCCAGGAACAGGCTTCTCAGAGGAATGGCGCCTTCCGCGAAGGCCGCAGCGCGGCGCTCTTCTGTCTGGTGCTCGGGACGGGAGGAGACCAGGTAGGGGCGGGCGTTGGGGGAGGAGTGTTAAAGGAGGCGGGAGAGGGAGTTGAGCTGTCGCTGTGCTCTGGCGGCTCTGGGCTCAGAGCGTGCACATCCTCAGGCTTGGGGCAGCTGGGCTTTTCTTGGACTAAATCTGCCAGGTTTGTTTTCGTTTGTTCCCCGTTTAAACTGCCACCTACTGGGCGCCGGTTCTGTGCCAGGCACCGTGCTAAGTTGCGTCAGGTACATTTTCTCTTCTGTGTTCGCAACAACCCCTGAGCAAGGTTCTCTTACTAATCCCCTTTAAGAGAGAAGGAGCCAAAGGGTCAGAGAGGTTAAGTGACTACAAAGGGTCCTCGGCCAGCAGGGGACAGCGCAGGACTCCAACTCGACTACTGTCTCCAGAACCTCAACCAATTCTTTATCCTCTACTACCAACCCCCGCGCCCCCCCCCCCGCGGTGCTTGGGGATGACAAAGCCACACCCGCTGTGAGAACTGGGCAAAGTGACTCCCAGAAAGGGAAAGGACTTACCCAGTGTCACACAGCAGCTGCACCACGCCTGAGTTCTGTTTTCTCCCCCATCCCCCAGCCCACGGTGCCTGCCTCAGGTCAAGTCCACTCCAGGCTCCTCCTGAAAACATCCCAGGCTCTGGCACCTGCCCTTTCTTTCTGTCTCGGTACCCTGACATGTCCCTTATTTAAGTAAGAGTGGTGAGGAGATTGGGCTCTGAAGCAGGACTGCCTGGATTTAAATCTTCGATTTACCACTTACTAGCTGTGTGGTCTTAGGCACATTACTTAGGTTTTTTTTAGTGCCTCAGTTTCCTCATCTGAAAAATGGGAATAATAATACATACATACCCATATTGTTAGGAGGATCCAATGGGTTCATATATGTAAAGTACTTAGACCAAACCTGACATATAGTAAGTGCTCCTTTTAGTTGATACTGTACTCACATAATCCCCAGTTCACTCACAGACACATGTGCACACCCACGCATACACACTGCACATGTGTACGTGCACATATGTGCATGCACACGTGCACACACACACCATGCTCCCCCACCCCCAGGCCTTACAAAAGGTGCATCTTGCCGCCGCTGTCTTCGGGCCAGGCCAACACGCACTTGGTGGTACCCCGGTCCATGATGATGGGGCAGTAGAAGGCAGTGGGGGAAGGCGAGGGCCGGGGCCACTGGCCAGATGCCAGCAATTACTGCTCTGGTGCTGGGGACCGAGAGCCGTGGCTGGAAGGGGTGGACGATGGCCATGTACCTGTGAGCAGAGGGCAGTGTGAGTGGTGGGTGCCCTCCCGTCAGACCAGCCCAGATTCGCTAGTCCCATTCCCCGCACCCTGGCTGACCACCTGCAGAGAGCCAGCTGGGCTGGTGCTCTCCCACAGCCATGTGGGACACTAGCACCCTACACGCCAGCCCACCCCACCCCGTTCCACCACATGGCCTCCCTCTGAGCGCGGATGTGCTCTCGATGGCCACAAGAGGGCGGTGTGGCCACACTGGCAGTCCATCTGGGGCCTTGTCCTGAAGCTCAGCCCTGCCGAGTTCCCCAGCCACACAGCCTGTCTTCTGTTCAGAAACCTTAACAGAGCCCAACGGCCTCCTGGACAAAGCCCAAAGCAGCTGCCCACCAGCTTTCTGCCGTGGAGGAACTGCTCTACATACACCGAGACGGCTTTGGTCCTAGATGACCCCCGGGCCTTCCTCCCTGGGATTAATCTGAACCCTGAGACCAGGCCAGAACGATAGGACGCAGCTCAAATCCCACTCTCACAATAGAGCTGATCCTGACGCCCATCTAACACTACGACCTGCCCTACCCCAGCACACATACCCTAGTGCCTCGGATCCCCTTCCTGATATTTTTCCATAGCACTCATGACCTCAAAATACAACATATCATTTATTTAGTCTCGTGTTTATTATTTAAATTCTCACTAGGGCAGGCATCTTTGTCTGCTGCTTCCCCCAGTGCCCAGAACAGTATCTGTACATAGTAGGCATTGAACATAAGAATGAATGAAGAAATGAATGGACGAGTCACCATTATTACCATCCTGACCTGAGCCACCATCCTTCCTCACCTGGGTTATTATTCAATGTCCTCCTGCCTGGTCTCCTGGCTCCTACCCTGCCCTCTACAGTCCGTACTACCCCCCCTCCACCCAGCCTTTAAAATGTAAGTTCCATGAGACCATGATTCCGGGACTCTTTTCCCACTGGTGTTTATTCCCCAGTGCCTGAAACAGTGCCTCAAATACCTGAGTGAATGAAAAGAAAGTCTTAGGGGACTTTCAGATCACTCCTCCACCCCTCCTGCCCCCACCCCATCCCCGTCAGAACGTCACAGTCTGCAGCCCCAGAGAGCAGCATCAGGGAAGTAACTGGCCCCATCTTAATTATATAGTAACTGCGTGCAGTGTTGAAATTTCCCCTCATATAATATATCTAGGAATAGGATGACAATATAAGCAATTTCCTTTCAGTAAAACAAAGATCAACTCCAGAGAAGAACACTTCAGAAGGTCCCTAAAACACCGTTGGTCTTCCCCTGTAGCCTTGAACAGCCATCTAGTGCAAAGTTCTTCCTTGTGTCTAACCTGAACCTTACTTGCTTCGGTTCCACAGTCCCCTGTCTTCCAGATGCATAGTTTAGGATCATGATCAGGTTAGGAGGCAACTAATTCCCTGCGTTCTACCCTTAACTTGCTGTGTGACTGTGGGCAAGTTACCAGCCCTGTGTGAACCCAGAAAAGTGAGCTGACTCCCCGCAGCTGCCCCCTTTTGCCTGTCGGCGGCGATGGTGGTCATGGAGTAGATGCTGACAAACATGGCTGTGATGGGGAAGAGGTTCTGGAAGTAGCAGAAGGCACGGCCAAAGTACCAGATGTTGTGGCTGGCGTAGACGAAGTTGAAGGCGGCATTGAAGGCGGCCATGCAGAGGTCGGCCAGGGCCATGTCGACAGTGAAGTAGTTGGTGACCATGCGCATCCTCCAACGGGCCAGGATTATCCAGATAACCGCAGCATTGCCCATCACAGCCACCAGCAGCGGGGCCAGGTAGGCTGCTGCCCACAATGCCAGATGCCAACCAGGCATGGAGAAGGCTGTGATGCCCATGGTGTTGCTCTCAAGGCCAGATGAGATGTTGGTGTCAGTCACCATGGCACAGGCTCCCATGGCTGCCTCTGGGTCTGGGACAACAGTCTAGCTCCTTGGCTCCTTCCAGGCCCTGGTGCCCTGCCGGATATGCTGTAGAAGACAAATCCTTTTGTGTGCATGAGTATGGGGGAGCGAGGGAAGCACTCCTGTGCAAAGCCAGGCACATCTGGGGAGCTGGGGGGCACTCCCAAGTCTCAAGCAAAGATGAGTTAGGCTGAGCAGAGAGCCAGGTCCAGAGCCGTTGGCATTTTACACTTCCATGTCCTGGCCAGGCTTCTCCAATGTCATGTGGACATCTAGAATCCAAGACATGCTTTCAGAGCAAGAAACATCCTTATAAATCATCAGTCAACCCCTTCACTGCAGAAATGGAAAAACAGATTCCAAGAGGGGACCAGCCCAGGTCACACAGTAAGTTGGTGATAAAGCCAGGACTCAAACCCAGGTCCCTCCTAATGCAATTCAGGGAACATTCTGGATCAGACGCACACACAGCAGCCGTCTTTGGATTCCACAGGTCAACTGCACAGCAGGCTCTCTCTCCAGGCGTTGGGGTGCAGGCAGGGCTGCCAGCCCGTGGTTGCCGCCCTGCTGCTCTCCGGGCGGGGCGTGCTGGGTGGTGAGGGCCTTGGCGGAGGTGTTTTCTGCTCACGAGGTAGGGCTGCCTTCTGCCCTTCGTCCCACCCCTGCGTGGAGGGCCCGGCCTTGTATCTTGAGGGAAGATTTAGGACTGGCTGCTGAGGCAGGGAGAGACCCAGGGGAAATGGGAGGTGGCAGCGGTGGGGCCAGGCATGCGGGGCACAGTCCTTGGTAGGGCGTTTACATTCAGCGGCGCTGGAGCTACATCTAGAATGTGATCAGGGGCATGGGCTTGGGAGCCCCAGGACTCCAGGCAAGTCTTTTCACCTTTCCCAGCTTCGACTTTCCCATCTGAAAACAATAGGAACAGTACGGTGCCCGTCTCACAAGATATTGGTGAGTTTTAATGAGACAACGTACGTAAAGTCTATTTAACACAGGAGCTGGCAGGTAAAAAAAACATGTCAAGGAGTTGTAGCCCTGCGGGAGGCCCCCAGACAGCTCAGGGCTCTGCTGGCCGAGGCAGGACGCAAAGCATTTCTAACACGTTCTCAGGTGATTCTGGTGCTGCTGGTCCAGGGACCTCACTTTGAGAACCACTGTCTCAAAGGGCAAGGACAAGGGCAGGGCTCGCTGCCTCTTCTGTGAGCTCCAGAAAACCCCGAGGGGCTGCCCACAGACTCTGCTCTTGGTCATTGACTGTGTGCATGTGTGTCGGGTGCTGCCTGAAGCTGCAATGCTGTGTCTGTGTGTGTGACAGACGTGTGTAAGCACACACACACTCGTGCACCTGGGCACACCTGTGGGTGTGTGGACCCTCGAGGCCGGGCAGGCTCAGAAGGGCAGGGCGTGTCCCTCGTTAAAGCCGAGGAGGGCTTCTCAGTCGCCAGCATTGGTGGCCCTGCTGGGCTGCTGGGCTAAGTGTGTGCTTGGTCTCCTGGGAAGCCAGCCCCGTTCCTTGAGGAGGGGCTGCTTGCAGGGGCCCCGCTCCTCCCGTGGGTATGTGTATCGTGGGGCCCCGGGCCTCACCTCGCCCAGAGTCAGCTTCAGACACAACTGGCTCCAGCCCTGGCCAGGCCGTGGGGCAGAGGCCTGTTCCTTGTCTGGATCGGGCCACCGGCCTCTGTTTGGATGTCTGCCCTTTGCTGAAGGGCCTCTGCCTTTGACGCCTTTTGGTAGCAGCGGTAGCCACTCAACTTTAGGGCTTGTTTGTCTCATGCTCCACTGACCAGGGTTTTGGAGGTAGAATGTATAGAAATAAGGACGTAACCGCAGGGCAGTCTTCTCTGTTTGCGGTTCTGCCTCCTACTCCAGGCAGCCAGAATTTGTTGAGTTTCAGGTGCAAGCCCAGTGCAGGGCTGGGACACCCAAGACTGTGTCACCTGCCCGAGAAGCCCCAAATAGCACCCTTTCTTCCTCCCCCCAGCGTCCCGCCACCTCCACTGTGTATGTGAGGATTATGTTTTGGAGCTGTGGAATCCAAGAGTTTTATTTCCCCCTTAAATCATGTGCTCTCGCGGCTTTCCAACTATGTGCTTGTGGCCTCGTGGAAGGAGAGGGTGGGGGCCGCCCCGCCCCGGACAAAGAGTTTACCAATCAGCCTTGCCGCTCAGAGCTGGCCGGCTGAGTTCATCGCTAAACAATGTCCTTGAAGGCTGCTCTTTGTCAAAACAGAAAAACATTCTAAATTCCTTTAGCTCCTGTGGACGCGTCAAGACTCCAGTTTGCTCTTCGAGCGTGTATGGGGGAAGTTCCCTCCGCCAGGAAGTGGAGGGGAAGGCCGCCCGTGGGTTCTGGCTGGCTGGGCTGAGGTGATGGCGCAGGTTGGGTACCCTTGGGAGATGACTCTGGTTCAGACTTTAGAGTGCAGGATGTTTATTAAGGAGCGCATGGGATCAACCCCTGGCGAAGGGAGGGGAAAGAAGCAGGTGTGGGCGGAAGGGGAAGTTGAGCGGTGATGGTGAGACGGCGGCCTTGGACAGCCCCGGGTTGACTCACTCTGAGCTAGAATGGCCTGTTAGAGTTACCCTCGTGGTTTGTGCTATTGTGATCTTGAAGCGAGCATCCTGGAGACCAGAGTCGGAAGTGATCTGTGTTTCAGGGAGTTTGGAGGAGAAGAAGGTGGGAGCTGCTGCAGGGATGAGGGAAGGGAGGGAAAAGGGGCTCCGGGAAGCGTTGTGGCCTGGGTGCCCCTCAGCAGTGTCCCAGAGATGCCTTTGGAAGTCGCCTGACCGTGTCTCTGGCTGGGCTTGGGCCCTTGGTCCTGGCTTCGGCGGGTCACATGCAGCTGTGGGTCATCTAGTCACCACGAAGTTCACAGGGCTGTGGGCAAAATGAGGGTGAGGACAGCGCACTGAGCTTTTTATTCCGGGGAGTGAATCCCGTTGGAAGGCTCAGCCTTCATTCTGAGACCATGCCCTTCTTGCTCTTTGGGTTAAAGTGGCCTTCCTGTCATGAAATAATGGTGACGGCAGATGGTAGCTGTGTTCCTGGTTTTTCTTTTTCTCTAATATTTCTTACTCAGTGGAATAACATTCTGGTGAGCTGTGTGGTTCCTTCAATTAGGTTTATGATATTTTATTGGTCTGTGAAATTCAGAGACTCAGGAGCCCTGATCTAGTTCCTCATTTGGAGAAGAGAGGGGGAGCCCCCGAGAGGGGAAGGCTTGCCCTGGGTCCTCTGGCCCTGGAGGGGGGCCGCTTCCTGAGGGCTTCCCTCGTCCTGCACTGGCCTGTCTGCCTCTGCTCGCTTGAGGCCCGTCAAACCCCCCTCCCGGTTACTTCCCTGTCACACAGGCAGGGAGCTCCTCAGGACCTGGATTGTGTCTTATTTATGTCTGGTGTCTAGGAGAGTAGTCAGTATATCAGGTGCACTATAAATGTTGATTGAATCAAAATGTTGATGAATAAAATTTAAAATATGACTCAGGGGTGAGGGATGATAAATTATATATATAACATATATCATCTATCTGTATCTAATATATATATCTGAAAGCCTTATACTGATGGCACTGGCACTAATGGTGGGATTTTCGGGAACTTTGAGTGGGCAGGGCAGTATAAAGCCTGGTACGTGGCACACAGTAGGTGCTCAGTAAATGCCAGATGAATAAATGAATAACAAATAATGAATAAAGTTGAAAACATCACCCTGTCAGGGATGATGGGAGTAGCATTCTTATTTTCACAGAATCTAAAGCTTAAACTAAAAGAACATGTCCATGTAGGTCGGGCAGAGCTTTTGGAGGATGTTGGGGTCTCTGCAGCATTCCAGGATTTATTCCTCACAGATAGCCCACCCCCCCCGCCTTGTCCACAGACTAGAGGGTCCCAGGCTGGCCCCTTTAGCAGATGGGCTCTGGGCCCTCCACCTGCTGGCCCAGAGTCTGGGACTTCAGCTGGGAGAGGGAGAGTTGCCGTCTGCCAAGACCATGGGCTGCAGCTGACACCTTTTTTAAACACTGTGAGTGTGCTGCGGCAGTGCCTCCCTCTGAAAGCCTGAAGTTTATCTAGCTGGAGAAGAGAGGCCGCGAGTGTTTACATCTGCTGTAGTCCTGGTGTACACAGAGCTCAGAAGCTCTTAACACAAAACGGGTTCGTTTCTCCACATCAGGCTTCTGCAAAATCTGCCCATTTATGGCAGGCAGAGGAGGAACTGGGTGCGGCTTGCCCTAGGAGGGGACACCCTAACACCCGCTTGCTGGTTGCATGACTGGGGTCATCCCAGAGGCAGCCTGGGTGTTGCAGGCAGAGGGGACTTGGTGTCTGCCCCAGGTGCTGGCAGATGCGGCAGCAAGTGCTGTGGCGAGGAAAGGGGGGATGAGGTAAGGAAAGGGGGGGTGACAAAGGGTCAGTGCTTCTGAAAGGGCTGAGTCTTGGGCCCTGCAGCGGGTCTCTCGACTGGGCAGGTGGTCTGATGGTCAGCCCAGAGTTAGGAGAAAATGTCATGTCTCTACCTTCATGAAGTTCCCAGCCAAGCTGGGGAGCCGGGTCCTGGAATAGCAGAGAGAACTCACTACCCCCTGTATTATCTGTCCCCCTCCACTCCATCCTCTGCCACCATATGATCTTTTAAAAACACCGATCTACCATGCATTTCCTGCTTGAAACCCTTCAATGACTTCCCATTGCTCTCTGGGTTAAGAGAAAAATAGCCCTATTCCTTTACCAGGTGTGACTGCTAACTCTCCCTCAGGACCACTTTCCCCTTGTTTCTTTTAGCAGCAGAGCCTCCCCAGATGTTACCTGTCACCCGGCTGCCCCGCTAAGGACTACCCTTCCAAGCCTCCCTTCCAACCCAGGTGTGGTCACACGATTAAGATCTGGCCCATAGGATGTGGGCAGGAGCGATTTATATGTGTATACGGACAACCTCAAGGTCTCGTTTTTTTTTTTTTAATTTATTTTTAATTAAAGTGTAGTTGAGGGCTTCCCTGGTGGCGCAGTGGTTGAGAGTCCGCCTGCCGTTGCAGGGGACACGGGTTCGCGCCCCGGTCTGGGAAGATCCCACATGCCGCGGAGCGGCTGGGCCCGTGAGCCATGGCCGCTGAGCCTGCGCGTCCGGAGCCTGTGCTCCGCAACGGGAGAGGCCACGACAGTGAGAGGCCCGCGTACCGATAAAAAAAAAAAAAAAAAAAGTATAGTTGAGTTACAATGTTGTGTTAATTACTGCTGTACAGCAAAGTGACTCAGTTATACATATATATATATATATATATACATTCTTTTTCATATTCTTTTACATTATGGTTTATCACAGGATATTGAATATAGTTCCCTGTGCTATACAGTAGGAACCTTGTTGTTTATCCATTCTATATATACCAATTTGCATCTGCTAATTCAAAACTCCCAATTCATCCCTCTCCCACTCCTCTCCCCCTTGGCAACCACCAGTCTATTCTGTATGTCCCTGATTCTGTTTCTGTTTCATAGATAGGTTAATTTGTGTCATATTTTAGATTTCACATATAAGTGACATCATATGGTATTTGTCTTTCTCTTTCTGACTTAACTTAGTAAGATAATCTCTAGTTGCATCCATGTTGCTGCAAACGGCATTATTTCGTTCTTCTTTATGGCTGAGTAGTATTCCATTGTATATATGTACCACATCTTCTTTATCCATTCATCTGGGGTTCTTTTCGTTTTTTTGCTAGTTTTTAAAAATTTATTTGTTTATTTATTTATTTATTTTTGGCTGCGTTGGGTCTTCATTGCTGTGCGCGGGCTTTCTCTAGTTGCAGCGAGCGGGGGCTACTCTTTGTTGTGGTGCGCGGGCTTCTCA